CGATCTTTTTGTACTCCAGTGCCCGACAGCAAAAAAAAAACGTGCTGCCCGAACCGGTACGATTACTTTAGATCTAGATCTAGATCTAGAATCTAGTTTCGCGGCTAGCCTAAATCTAGGTCTAAATGAAGATTGCGGATGTCTTTTCGATGAACGATCGTTTTTCCTCCGTTTTGGAGTTGGAGGAATCACAATTTGAAGAAAAGAACAAGTTACAATGTCATAATTTCAATCGAGCAGTCCCCCCCCCCCCCTCTCTCTCTCTCTCTGTCTCTCTCTCTCTTTCTCTCTCTCTCTCCTCTGTGTATCGCTCGCCTTCTCTTTTTCTTTGTTTGTCTCTGTCTTTCTTTGTCCCCACCTATTTCCCACTCTATCTTTCTCTCGTTCCCTCCTGCCAACTGGGGCATGTCATACATTTTGCTAGCACCCCCCCTCTCTTTCTCTCTCTCTCTCTCTCTCTCTCTCTCTCTCTCTCTCTCCCTCTCTCCTTCTCTCACACACACACACACACTAGATTTCTACCGGGTCTGGCGGCTGAAACTTCCCGAAATCACAAAAGAGTTCCCCTACCGGGTCTGTATACTTCGTGACTTTGTTCCCGGTTACCGGGTCTGTATACACTTCGTTTTGGAAATTTCCTTCCCGTTTTGTTTTCATAAGAAACTGAAGTGATTACTAAAGGACATAAGTGGCCATGCCTAAGTGAACCCTACCACATTAGCCAGTAAAAGGCCTATTTTTCTGCCTTTTTTGTATTAAAACTTCATTTTGACTGATTGAACTTTGGTGGACCCACCGTGTTTATGTGTGTAAGAAAGTGCACTATTCTAGAGGGGCTTGCCTCCTGTTAGTGTGTGTGTATGGGGGGGGGGGGGGGAGGGGCTCGGGGAGCCCCTGGCAAATAGATCTATAATAATTTTTAAAAACCCATACAATCTTCATGTGTACATGGCAAATTATCAGTGCTTTTTCGGTACATTCTAGATCTAAAGTGTTTGGACCCCATACCAACCAGTAGTGGGTGTACCCATGCTTAAACAATCCTAGAGAGACTCCTGAGCTCAGAGCATGCATCCTTGACCTTTGGTCCTTAAAATCAACCTCTGTGGGAAATGTTTCCTGTGTGCCAGGCTTCTTTCTTTTCATTCACATTTTTTATGAACATTTAATTATGAAGTCTTCATGACACCAGGATGTGCCCGCATATGAACCACCTGCCCTTACACGAACCACCTGCAGTCCTCATATGAACCACATCTCATGTAACCTTGCTTTGAAAATGCTATTTTTGTCATTTTATATGTATGTATCTTTCAGTGACCAAAAGAACCATTTTGGTACCTAATAAATAGCCAGCTTTTTTAATTTGGACCTGATTTCAAGTGTGATAAGACAAAAATAAATGTCTCTCCTCATGACTGGCATCATACTTTGCAAGCAGGCCTCTATATGACAGTGTAAAGAAAGGCATTCTTCAAGATGTTATGATTGCCCACCGTCCTTATAAGTGTCCAGGCTATTTGTAACCTCAGCAAGGGACAAGTAAACTAATACCTACACAACAATATACAGACAAAAACAGTGGAAAAAATACGAAGGTGTGGTTTCACCAGACCACTAGATCTAGGCCTGAATTTATTTTTGTTAAAGAGAACAAAAAAGGCAATGTCAATGAGTGACCAAATACATCATGTTATTGAAAATATGGAGAAACAAAATGTTCTATCAATTGCAATAAGTAACCATTCATACATGATAAAGGAATGAATATTATAAACAAAATATGTAACAAGAACAAGAAACTTGGCACAGTAGCTTACTAAATTACAAAGAACCTTTACAGAAAAAACAAGAATATGAAACACTTTGCAACTCCTCCTCTGTCTTTTCAAGCACACTGTCATCCTTCGCACACACAACATGAAACCATCTGCCACATTCACAATACACCCAAAGATCATTTCCTTACTGCCACACGCATTCAAACTTCCACATCCTGCACAAATATTGTCCATGTCATTGTCGTCGTCAGTGTCATGCAAACTGATGTGGTCGTCTGTCTCAGTTTCAGAGTCTACCTGAGTGTTGATTGGTCGTCCTCCTTTCTTTGCCATCTTCTCTTTTCTCTCATTTTGCTTTTTTACCTTTTCCTTTTCTTTTCTTTCTTGTTCTTCTCTTTTCTGTTTTTGTTGTTCTTTTTTCTTTTCCTCTCTTTCTCTTTTCTTTTTTTCTTTTTCTTCTAGATTTTTCAATCGCTTTTCTTCTCTGTCTTTCTTTTTCTTTTCTTTTTCTTCTTCTTTTTCTTCTTCTTCATCTCTCTTCTTTTTTTCTAAGTTCTCTTTAAAAATTTTTAACTCGTCAGAGGACACCATCTTAGGTGGGTGAATGACTGTCCGTTTATTCCTGCCCCAGCGAGCTGGAAGAGGAAGGCTGTCTAAAGTCGGTCTGTGGGCAGTCTTGTCTTTGTTAGTGTCAGTCAGTCCAGTCGCCAGTTGGGTTTGTATAAGGCCATATAACTTTGAAAAAAGCTGCTGCTCTGGCTCGTCTGTCGTCTTGTCAAGGTCATAGCAGGTCAGGTAGTGTATCAGGCCACTGCTTCCTGCTCGGGCTGTCAAAAGTAGCAGTCTGTCAAAGGCAGTCTGGACAGTTATGTTATGGTCATGGGAGGCTACGGATGGTCCAACGTCAGTGTCTGTTGTTGTTTCAGTCTGATTAATTTTGGTTCGCTCCACCTCCATTGGCTCCTCAGTCACTGTCGTTTCGTTCTCATTTTCTATTGTCAGTTCGTCAGTCTGTAATGTCATCGTCGGTTCGCTCTCATGTTCTGCATCTGCCATCGTCAGTTCGTTTGTCTGTACCGGTAGTGTCATTGTCGGTTCATTTGTCAGTTCTGCCATTGTCGGTTCGTACGTCTGTTCTGTCACTGTTGGTCCATTTGTCTCGGCTGTCACTGTAGAGTTGACTGTCTGCACTGTCTGGAACAGCCTGTGAGGTGCCAGTTTGGTCTTGTCAAAGCGATCAGGGTTCCAGGGGCAGATGCCAGAAGCCCTGAACCCACTTACCAGAACATCCCCATCATGTCCCCGCCTTTCCCAAGCTCTCTTGAAAACTTTGGCGAAATGTTGTTTTGACAATGTGTCCGAGTTGTCCTCCTAGTACTTCATCACTTCCTCATACCACGCTCGTTTGAAGTTTTTAAAGCTGGTCAGGTCCAGCGGTTGAATGATATGGCTTGAATGGCTGGGCAGTTGATACAGAATGATGCCATGAGACCGGCAAATCTCATGGATCTCCAGAGTCAGGTGAGTGCTGTGGCCATCAGCAAAGAGTATGACAGGTTTCTGGAGATGTGCGACAGCAGGACAGAAAGCAGACTCCATCCACCTGGCGAAAATCTCACTGTCTATCCACACATTACCTGACGTGGCCATATGAGCCTCCTCAAAGCCCTCGAGAGGGTCGTAGGTGAAGCGCTGGCCAGGGAAGATAAGAAGGGGAGCTTGGAGCTCACCCAGGGCGTTGCCGCAAACGAGAACAGTTACCTGTTTGTGTGTGTCGTTGGTCTGTTTTTGCCGCCAACACCTTCTGCACCCCTCCTCCCAGCTGAAACCCTGACTCATCACAGTTGAAGAGTCTCTCAGGGCATTCCAACACAGTAGGGTCTATCTGACTGATGTCCTCTTTTGCCTTCTGGAACCAGGCGACAATCTTGTACTCGCTGACAGCAGCCCTCAGTGAGCCAAGTGCCTGGGGAGTCCGAAGGCTGAGCTCGTTCTCATGACGCTTACAAAACAGACGGTACCACTTCTCCCCAGGCATGTTGTCCTTGAAGACGGTGGTCTCTGCCTTTGTGTTCAGGCATTTCTGGACAGTTGACAGCAGCTGCTCCTTTGTCCGCCCGAATCCCCGCCTTGACGACTCTGTCAGCCACTCAGTGAGTCGATTCTCTTTTTCGCGGCTAAGTACTGTTCTGTCAATCTAACGAAAGAGAAAAATAAGCAACCAATTAAAATTAGTCACACTTTCATTTTCTTGAACTGTACTGAACTCTGGACCTAGAGAAAGAACCAACATATTAGTATTGTTTAAAATTTCACTAAAATATCCTGTACCAAACTAGATCTAGTTCCCACCCCGCAATTGTTTTTCGTGGGTTTTGGCCCCAAGAGTAGGGGGGTCCCAGGGGGGCTTCCCCTTGACCTAATAAAAATAAGGTGGGGGGTTTTAGGGGGTTGATTTTACCATAATTTGATGTTTTGCAGTTGTTAGGTTTGATATCTTAGCTCGCTGTGCTTCAAACTTAAGATCTGGATCATGTAGATCTAGGCTCAAATAAAGGGGGTGGAAACTACCGAAAAAAGCACCAAATTATCAATTGGAACGGGAAGGCAATTTCCAAAGAGCGCCGGCAGAACAATGACCAGATTTTGGCACCCCCAGGGGGTAGTCTAATTCGAGACTGCAAGGTTTGCAAATGGATACTGTGAGGTGCAAAAGCAGTATGGAAGTGGCTATCCTCAACCGGGGTGAGAATAAAAATACGATCAACCTCTCACCGCGGGTGAGACTTGCCATCGTTGGCTATTCTCACCCGGTGTGAAACAAGACCTGTTTTTCCTAATTTCTGAATACTTTGTATCGGTGTGGATGATCAAATGGATAAAAGCAAAGAAAAAATTATGTTATAGCACAACAGTAGGCTAATTTGATTGTCTGCAAAGATGCTATGGCTATTTCACTTTTCGAATTGAGCCGAACTACGCAGGTCGCCATTTTGTTTTGCCCGGAAGATCTCGCAAGATCTACTCCTTCCCTCTTCTCTCTCTCTCTCTCTCTTTCTGAATACTGTCTATCGGTGTGGACGATCAAATTGACCAAAACAAAGTTAAAAAATGATGTTAACTGATTCCGTCCATGATTTTTTCAGGCTCTTGACAGAATTATTTTTCCCTGTTCAGTTTTAGACCTGGGGTGCATCTATTTAATGCATTACTGTGAAGTTCTAAGTTACTCTAATATGTATTGTCATATACCAAACTGACGGGAATAAATAGAAGAATCTGTTTATATCAATAACAATGACCTATAATCTGTTTGTATTGCATTTTCCTTCTGACAAAAACGAATGAGAAAAAAAAATTGCGCAACAGCTCTTCGAAATTTCGACTTACCGCATTTTCTCAGCTCTACAAGTCCTTATAATCCATAGGAATCAACACAACATTGAGCGATATCACCGTAGCACACATTTATGCAAGAATTTCACAAATTTAGTTGAATATCTTTCTTTGAAGAGCCCTTTTATTATACCAGGCTCCGTGTTGTTTACCCTTAGATCTAGCCTACATCGCGACAACAAAACAACGATTTTTGCAAGAATTTCGCGGAGTTTTGATCGATATTGGCACTCAGAGATTGAGGTCAGGTTTGTTTACAAGTTCTACTTCCTTTCGACAACTTAAAAAGTAGGAACTATGTTAAAAAGTGCACCTTTGTTTCGGATTTTGTTGAGCCACTCACAGCGGCCGAATGGAGGCAGCGGAAAAACTAGAGCCGCTGTCAGCGGCCGAATGGACGAAATCAGTTAAAACACAAAAGTAAATTAATTTGGTCGTCTACACAGACGCTACGGCTATTAAACTTTTCGAATCGAGCCGAATTACGCGGGTCACCATTTTGTTTTGCCCGGAAGTTCTCGCGCTACTTCTCTCTCTCTCTCTCTCTCTCTCTCTCTCTCTCTCTCTCTCTCTCTCTCTCCACTGCCCACTAACAAAATTGTACGCTTTTAGGCTAACAGTAGTAATGGAACGTTTGTTCGCGGCACAGAGTTCAGGGTGAACGCAAAATTGGTTGGCCTAGGTCTATGCTATAACGGTGAATGCACACCCCGGGTGAAAATAGCCAAAAGACTCGCCTGCGCTATTCTCACCCGGGGTGAGAATAGAGGTGGCCAAGCAGTATACGGGGAACCACTAGCTAGGAAGACTCAAAGAGGGAAGCACCCCCAGTGGGTCGGGGGGATATAAATAGACCCATTGCTTCGTCTGCAGAAGGTGCAACCCCTTCAAAGGCGAGGTGTCGCACTCGGA